CGATTATTTTCGCTTATCAGAGTATTGTCGGCCCCATCAACGGAAAAAATCTGAGCAGTCAAAGTTACACAGGCAAAGGAATCGTCGTCGAGGGGAACAAAAACATTGTCAACTTGGGCCATGACAAAGAAATTAAAACTGCTCTAAGTCAGATACAAAAGAGTTTAGCTTCTTTGGAAGAAAAGATTTCCGCAATGCAGCCGAATCGACGTGGTAAGTAATAATTACTGGCTATATTTTTCTGTGGGTAAGCTATAAGGCGACAAAACAGTCAGGAGTCTAAGTCTAACATGAATGCCAGCGAGGTGACCCTTTAGTGTATTACTGAGTGATTTGTTGTGGACCCGAGTCAGATACAAAAGAGTTTAGCCTCTTTGGAAGAAAAGATTTCCGCAATGCATAAGAATCGATGTGCTAAGTAATTACTGGCGTTTTTTCTCTGCGCTATTAGCCTCCGACAAAACGGTTCGAATTCTAGCAATTATGAATGCCAGCGAAGCTACTATTTAGTGTAATTATTAAGTTATTTGTTGTGGATTGGAGTAACATCTTAGCGCTTGTCCATCAATAACTAGTTTATCGATAGGATTTTCCCATAAATACTTGTGTTTTGAATTTTACACCTATCCTAAGATCAGTTCTTATAGTTCTGATAGCTGTCAATACTCCGCGGTTTTCACATCCTACTGATGAAATGAAATTCAAGAAGTTTCCCTTAAAACTTATATTCTTCACAAAACTGACAAAACGCACGTTTTTCCTGTTTTAATAATAATGTGGCATTCATCATCTTATTAAACCACCTTACGGCTAGTAAATGCTGTATAATAGTGAATCATTTTCTTCTGTTTGTTAATTGTCTTCTTCAGTTTTCACTGCGCTGCTGCAATAATTAAAGCTTCACGTTTTAGCTCTTCCTTTGGTGCTCTAATACAGGTTTCAGTTAAGTTGTTTTATCAACACCCGAGCTTTATCCTCTCTTGCCACACCATATTATCTTCTACACCATATGATCGATCTTTTATGCTGCTTAATTTTATTTTATGAGTTTTTGTTTTCATTATTTTAGACATTTTGTATTTAATACTTAGCTTTAATCGTTTTAGCTCGCTCAAACTAGCGCCAGTGTGCTATATATTGGAAGTGAAGATATCTAAGTCCAGAAAATGCACTAGTTGTTTCTACTTAAATACGGGTTCTAATTTTATCATTTTGAAAATTTAGTTTATCTGTTCGTTTAAAGTAAATTAACTGCACAACAGAATATTTGAGTCTGTTTTAATAGAGGAGCATACGTAGTTTTGAAGTTTTATCATTGTTATTACTTGCAGGGTATGGTTTTACTTGCAGTTCAATTATTAACACTTTAAACGGTGTAATCTTTGTTGTACCTAGCTTAATTCAGGTAGAAATCTAGCTATATTCATTTGCAACATCATTCAAAAAAAGTCTGTTTCCTTTTCTTCTAAAGCTTGCAAATTCGACTTCGAAACGGGCTTGAGTGGTTGGAAAAGGACTGGAACAGCATTTAACAGTCAACCTACCTTCGGTGACAATCCAACAGCTCGCAATAGAGGACAACCTGCCAAACAGCAGGGGGACTGGTGGATCGGAGGGTACGAAAACAGGTCATCCAAGGCAGCAACACCTGGAGCAGTTCAGGGAGATGTTCCCCAAGGAACTCTTGCTTCCCCGTTCTTTAAGATTGTTGGCAAACGGATCTCATTCTTGATTGGAGGAGGCTGTGACATTAAGAAAGTTCGTGCTGAGTTGATTGTTGATCACCAGGTAAGACAGCCTGACAGAATTGCTTTCAGTTTTTGGCTTGTTGTGGCACATTTTTTTAATTCAGTTTCGAACTCGGCTGGGTAATATCATAATAGGTGCAACAACTTATCTAGAAATTAACATGATACTTTCCTTTATACTCTACGAATGCCTAACTGTGTTTTGCTGAAGGTGATATAAGAGAAGTATTTCCGAGGTTAATGAATATTCCAGTCAATCGACTACAAAAACGTCATGGCTTCTGTTCAATCCTTCCCATATTTTAGCTAGGTTATGTAGCCCTTTCATTATGTAGGCACTGTCATGTATATATGAATTTCTAACTTTTCAGATTGTGCAATAGCTATTAATATTGAAATTAAGCATTGCAAAAGACTATCTTAGCTTGTCATCAGTCATTTTGAGTGGTCGCTTGCAAGAAGCTGAATTGCATCTGCCTCTCTTTTCCAGGTTGTCAAAAGTTCTACTGGTTCATGTACTGAAACAATGTCTCGCAAATTCTGGGACGTTCATGCCTTTGTTGGTCGAACAGCACGTGTCAAATTGGTGGACTACAGCAGTGGCGGATGGGGTCACATCAATTTTGATGACCTCGGAGGAGATATCAGCTGTGGGCAAAAATAATCTCGTCTCACTGCTTCGGTTTTACCGGATCCTAGTATCGTACTTAAGGGAGTAGAAACGGAAGATATGATAAGATAAGAGGAAATAGTTAATCAAAGCAATCGATTAGATTTAAGATGATGAATACGTAACTGAACATCTAAGGATACCGAATTTTAGTGCTTTTCTGTTTCTGACAGTTGAACGGTAAACATGTATCCAAGAAATAAAGGTTTTAATTATACCTTAATTGTATGGCGTTTTAAACTTTGTGATGACTTCAGAATAGAATATTATGGTTAAACATCGATCACAGTCACCTTACACCTATCCCTTACATGCATGCACGCATGTATTCCATATTTTTTAATAATATTTCCTGATGACTTTTTACCATTTTTCTCACAGTTCTGAATATATTAAACTTTTACAATAATTTATCATAAGCCTTCAAAAGCATTATTTACGAATTTATTGGCTGTAATTTTAACTAAAAACTATATTTTACGGAAATGTGTTCATAGGAGAAGAGACTTGACTGTCTAATAATTTACTAATTATACGAGAGACATCGCTTCGCCTCCTTTTTCCTTCCCATGGTCCTTTGTGTTTCGTCACCAGTCCCTCGCAATTCGCGCCTGAGGATGAGACAGATGACCCATATATAACAGTAACAGTTCTTATGGATATCATAGGGAAACCAAGATATACAAGTTATATCTGACTGAGTTTTAATCCAATGACAAGGACGAAGTCAAATTTGAGCAGCTAATTTACCATAACGTTTCTTTAAATTCCCTTCAATTTCCCTCATTTTTGGCAAAATAGTTTGTACAGTAATTAATGCATTGTAATCACTGAATTGGATCAAGCGCTTTATACTGATTCACAGCCAACGAGAGTCCATCAGTCCTGCTCTTTGGATTCAGAATACTGGAAATCGTAACTGTAATATTAATTGAGATTTACCTGGAGTTTTTAGCTGAAACTCAATCACTCCGAGTTCTGTGTACCAACAGAATCCACAACAGAAAAAAATACATCTAGCCATGGGCTATAGCGAACAGGGGCTCGACTAAATAAAGGTTAAATTTTTGTTTAATACAGCATTGAATTACTCACATTAAAGTACAATAGTAGAACTGACCAGAAACGAGAGCCGGGGAAGACTACTTCAATGTGAGTGATTCAACTTTATTACACAAAAATTTAACTGTCATTATTTAGTCGAAACCCATGTTTCTTATAGCTCATCATCTGACCGAAGCGCTTCTTCTTTCTTCCTCTTTCTTTTTTTTTCTCAATACACCCTCTTTTTTGTTTATTTCTGACTAGTCCCCATTAATAACGACGTGTTTAAAGAGGAGGAGGAAAAAACATTTGTTCCGAACAAGTTCACGAGACTAGTATTTTTTAAGTTCCATAGTGAATAAGGACAGCATGGGTAATTTTGCAAGCTTAGCCACTTAAAAGTCTCTTAAAACTTGAAAAAGTTATTCAAGTTTCAATCCATGTCCATCCTTTGTAAGGAGAGATTTCCCATGAATTCTTTGTTTGCCTCGAATTTCATATCTAGCTTTTAAATATTCTCTTTGAAGTTGTGTTAGCCGTAATCTCACTGAATTTGCATTGAGTTGTTTTAGTTCCCTTAAATTATACACATTTTACTTCAATGTTTACTTTTAAAAGGATAATTTGTTTCTGGATAATTATACAGCTTAGTCACTGAATAACTGGATCTTTCGTCTGTTCAAATACCAACCGTTCGTAGTTTTTTAGTTTTGACATTTTGAGGGATCCTGAGGAAAGGAAACTTGAATTCTTTTACACAGCTTTCTTTGTAGGTTTCCTAAATTCACTTGCTTGACTGGCATTTAATTTTGAGTTATTTAGTTTAACATATGAACTTTAAAACTGAATTTATCCAGATTTGTTTTTGCTGTTCAGCTGATTTTATTAAGCCTTCTTTCCATTTGTTTTGTGATGTTGTAATAAGTTGATCGGTTAGTATAAATAGAGCACTGTTATTCCTGTTTTTCGATTTACATTGCGGGCCGGAGTTACATGCTTGTACGATTTACATTGCGGAGTTACATGCTTGTACGTTTTTACATTGCGGATTTAATTGACTGTACAAGCTACGTTAACGAGCTGAAGATTAAACTGTTGAAGTCCAAGTTTGAGTCTTGTCCTGTTTCCAGTTGTAGCAGATCCGGTACCTTGGAATACTGACGAGTTCCTTTCCCGCTAGCCAAGCGAGTTGCGAGTTAGTTTTCCCCCTTGTTGTTCTGACGGCGAAGTCACTCGACTTCTCTTTACGTTTAATTCCCCGATTAGTGCTTGGAAGGGCAAAACTTATCGTCACACCTTGCCATGGCATTGCAAAAGACGGCAGCAAACAGTTTCAATGCCCAAACTGATAGTCTTAAATAACTAAACTGGGCTATTGTTTTTGGAATAAAAATGATGCGAAGACAAGTTTCAAAAAGAGAGCAAATAGCGTTTCATAAAGTAGAACCAGTCAGGCCAAGAAACCCCAGTTTCGATAATTTCATAGCAGCTCAGTAGAGGATTACAATATTTAGTCTTGCGAAGATTGTAATCCTGCCAACTGCTGTGAAGGAAGCTTTCTAATACAGCCGCCTCTAACCGCTTCTCCTTAGTGGGAAGTTTTAGTTATTACCCACTGGCGTGTGCATCTAACTTCACCATCAACCGTGAAACTCAGTTGCTTTGCTTGGTCACACGAAATGAAAGCCATACTGCAGTCCCCCATGCAATTGCAGCCGAAACGTTTCCTCATTTTCCTCCGTTTAACGACATCTCGGTTGCTGTCTCTGGAGGTTGAGGCCAGTCTTCGATCAGAAGTCAGTCAGAAGCAGCGTTCTTCCCCGGTTTGAAAAGGCTCGTTGAGGCCTACGCGAAATATGAATTATCGTTTAAACAGTTATTTGGATGGGAACTGATGACTTCTCAATACCGAACCAGTGCGTTGACAAGCTCTTCTTCAAAACGTCGTTTTGTAATTAAAAAAATGCCTCAGAATGCCTAGGTCATTTTACTCACCGCTATCTTTTTACCAAATATGTTGTCGGGAAAACCCTTAAAATAGCATATCAGAGCGTCTCGATTTAAAATTTTCAGGAGGGGGAAGTAGCCTTGTTTATTTTAAAGTTTGCTTCTCAATTTGGTGCTCTAACAGAGAAGAGAAGCGTGACTTCACGTTACCATGGAAGCAAAATTTCTGGATCACAACAATAGAGAGTTAAAAGGGAACTTATTTCGGGGCGACGGCAACTTCAACCGGACGTGACGTCATGTGCAATATTGCCGCGGCATGCTCTTGCTCACCACATTGCCGTCGTGCTCCCCTCGGCGTCGTGAAACTGGTCTGTTTGGCGTTGTGGCGAGAACGTGAGTATTTAACTTTCATTTCAATCAGGTTTGTTGCGTTTAGCAACCAGAATTTGCAGCGCCAATAAGGAACAAACTGTGTCTTAACGAGGGTTTACTGAAGACCGAACGAGAACCGCATGGAGTTACAAAGATGATCCACGGGCGCATGCGCGCGCTAGATACCGCTGAAAGTAACGCAATAACAACGTAGTGGCGTGATTGCCTCCTCCTTCTTTCCTACCCTAACTAAGAAATAAAACATGAACAATAGGCTGAACTGATACGAGCACTAGACTAAAACCGCATAGGATAACAACGGCTAAAGGTAATGAAAGAGCTAGAATAAATATGAAACTGAATGTAACGGTGGGGTGTATTCCCCCTTATGATAAGGTACGAGTGAGCTAATAAAATACGCAGTTCATGGTAAAGACCGTAGTTACGGCTAGAGAGTACACGGCAGAGTTATTAGTCAAAGTCCCAGTCCTTATTGTGCCAAAATGGGGCTTTCCGCGAGCGGTCAGATTTCCTAGTGGGGATAACAGCAGCAGGCGTCGGCTGTGCATCATCAGTAAAAGAGGGGTCCAGGGGAGCTTGTGGAGGACTCCGAGAAGGCATAATGACTTCAGGAATTGGGGGGTGTTCCTGGGCGGGTAGCTGAGAATGAGCTGGAGACACTGAGTGGTGTACCGGAACAGTATAGGTATCCACTGGTGGAGAAGCAAGCACTGTAGGGGGTCTTAGTGAAGGGACGACGGGAACAGGATCATCGTCAGAGTCAGAAGCAGTGGATTCGGTCTGGCCACGGATGGGTCCTTGTGGAGTCTGAGCTAGGACAGTTGGGGTGACAGGGTAGCAGTCACACATAGGAATGGTGTAGACCTTACTGCGGAACTGTGAACTGGTAAACTTGCGGAGCTGACAGAAAAGGTCTTTATCGATGCCGATCACAAGATACTTGTCGCGGGCTTTCAGTTTGTCTTTGTCACCTTTGATGAAAACAAGGTCACCAACAAGGACAGTGGGGATGGAGGCTTTGGTAAAGCCATGGGCCTTGGACTTAGCACTCGGCATGTGATTCTGCTGGCGGGAAAAGTTTTGACTGAGGATAATCTGGCGGTCGACAATTGGAAGCTGCGCACCAGTGAGCTGGTCGCGTTGCGTCCACAACTCAAGAGCTGAGAGGCCATCACGGCGGATGCGGGAG